TTTATCACGATAGCTTTAGTTGACAATCAAATATGTGCTTTTAAGTGATTTTCGGAAGTGGGCCTTATATGGGAGCTATGACGAATAATGGACCGATCCGAAAAAAAATGTGTAGAACGATTTGTATGTATACAACACATACTTGTGTCGAATTGTATTCCGATAGCTTTATTATTCAATGAAATATATGCATTTAAGTGATTTTCGGAAGTGGGCCTTATATGGGAACTATGACCAATAATGGACCGATCCGTAAAAAAAATGTAGAGTGATTCATATTTAGACAAAACATATTTGTGTCGAATTTTATCCCGATAGCTTTATAATTCAATGAAATATATTAGTTTAAGTGATTTTCGGAAGTGGACTTTATATGGGAGCTATGACCAATTATGGGCCTATCCGGAAAAAATTTCGTAGAGTGATTCATATTTTGACTAAACATATTTGTGTCGAATTTTTCAAGATAGCTTTATTTGACAATGAAATATGAGCTTTTAAATGATTTTCGGAAGTAGGCCTTATATGGGAGCTATGACCAATAATGGACCGATCCGTAAAAAATTTGGTAGATTGATTTGTATATACACAAAACATATTTAACTCGAATTTTATCGCAATAGCTATATTCATCAATGAAATATATACGTTTAGGTGACTTTCGGAAGTGGACCTTATATGGGAGCTATGACCAATTGTGGACCGACTGAGATATACGTTGACTGCATGATTTCTGTTCATATTATATTTGCATGTACAAAATTTTTTGTTGATACCGATATATTTGAGGGAGTTATTAACGATAAACTAATTTCCGGGAATATATACCTTTGTGTGGGGGCTATGGGAGATATTCGATCGATTGTAAAGATCTTGAACATAATTGATCACAAACATAAAAAATTAATGTGTGACAAAATTCATCGAAATATCTTTGGTAGTTTCTGAGAAAACTTCAAAAGAATGTTGAAAAAAACGTAATTTTTTTTCGAGGTAGTCTGAAATTTTTACTAATAACTTTTTACGTTGTGAACCGATTTTGCTGATTTTCAATACCAAACTGCTTAGGATAATAATAAATACTTTGGGTGAATTTGCTTGATTTCCTTTGCTTAGTTTTAATGTGAGCGTGTTTTACACAGACAGACAGACAGACAGACGGACGGACGGACAGACGGACATAGCTAAATCGACTCAGAATTTGATAACGAACCAGAATATATATACTTTGTTGGGTCTTAGATGAATATTTCTTGGTGTTACACACGGAACGACAAACTTATATATATATACCCTCTATCACCACTGTTGGTGGTGGAGGGTATAAAAACAAATTGTCTAAATGAGGCTTTATATAGGAGTATAGGTCAAACATGGGCCTATCCTCATTAAATTTGGGAAAAGGATATATTTTTAAATAATAGTTAATTATGTTGAGTTTCATTGCGATACAAATGGTTACAAGTCAATTTTAGACGTTTAAGACATTTTTTGAAGGGGGGTTTGTATGGGGGCTAGGGTCAAATAATAAGGGCTAGGCTCATTACGAAAATCTGCAGTGTCATTTATGCTTATATAAAACTTATTTGTGCCAATTTTTAGAGATATAATAGTATATTTGACGTAATTATGACATAAAAAGCCCAAATCGATAGGTACGGTTGTATGGGGGCTATGTGAAATAATGGACCGATTTCAACCATTTTCAATAGGCTTCGTCCTTGTGAAAGAACATGCTTGGTCCAAATTTCATCAAATTATCTTCAAAATTGCGGCCTGTAGCTTGCGCACAAGGTTTACATGGACAGCCAGCCAGCCAGCCGGACGGACGGACATGTCTTAATCGACTCAAAATGTGATTCTGAGTCGATCGGTATACTTAAAGGTGGGTGTAGGACCAATATTTTTGTGTGTTACAATCATCAGCACAAACGTATAATACCCTTCCCACTATAGTGGTGTAGGGTATAAAAATGAATGTGTGTTTGTTTGTATGTTTGAACGTTATAGACTACTAAACGGCTGAACCGATTTTCTTCAAATTTTGACAGCGTTTTCCTGTATGTCTGGAATAGGTAATAGGAATAGGCTGCTTTTTATTTTGAAATTCAAAGTGGGCGAGGAGCCACGCCCATATTAAGAAAATATTAAATCTGTATATTTGAGATCATATTACAGTTAGAGTCCTCAAATTTTGTCGGAGCAACTTTAGTGTCAATATGATTTAGGATTTGGGACAAAAAGTAGGCGAATTAGCATTAGGGGGCGTGGCACCTCATATATGAATTAAATACAAAAATTCTTTTATCTTCTATTAGAGCCAGAATCTTCAAATTTTGCACGAAGAACTTTAACATACATGTAAACATTTTGGGTAATAAATTGGCGAACTGCCATTGGGGGGAGCGGCACCTCCCATATGAATTAAATACAAAAATTCTTTTATCAGGGAAATTAATAGAACGAGATTCTTAAAAATTTTTACGAAGAACTTTTATATTCATCTAAACATTTTGGAGAATAAAGGACGGACTTTAATCAAGGGGAGCTTGGCACCCTCATATGAATTAAATAGAAGCACTTGTATATCTGAGAAACTATTTGAGCTAGAATCAATTTTACATGAAGAACTTTGACATTCATGTGAACATTTAGAGAAAAATGGGGGATTGGCATCTCGCATATGAATTAAATACAAAATTTCGTATATCTGGGAAACTATTAGATTATTAAAATTATTGCGAACTTGCAATAATTTGAATGACATCTCATTATATATATACATCTATATAAAAAACCTATTATAGTTAGAATCTTCAAAATCGTTAAGTGCGGTTTTTTATTTATACTGTTTTTAGGGTAGCAAAGCACACTGGGTATAGCTAGTTAAATATAAAATTTCGTTTATCTGGGAAATGAAAATGAGCAAAATCGGTTCACATCGAGAAACGTTATGAATCAAAATTTAAAACAACTCAGAAAAAAATAAGTATTTTTTACACATTCTGATGCAATTTTCACGAAAACTATGCAATATAATGAGATGAAAATCATCACACATTTGTTTTTACACGAGAACTTTATTCTTGAAAATTGCCGGAATCAATCCATAATTTCTTATACCCCCATACAAAAGTACATATTTCCGGAAAATGAGATTATTGTTAATAACTTCCGGCAGAATGTCAATAGAATTCATATAGAGAAAAAATTTTCTGGATCGGTCCATAATTGGACATAGCTCCCATACAAGGTCCCCTCTCGAAAATTTCTTAAAGATATCCATATAGAATTTGGTACAAGTATTGATCTTATATACAGAAATGTTACTGTGAAAATTTTTTCCGATCGGTCCATAATTGGTCATAGCTCCCATACAAGGTCCCCTCCCAAAAATCACTTAAACTCACATAACTCATTACTTAATTAAGATATCCATATAAAATTTGGAACAAGTATTGTCCTTAATAGGTCATAGCTCTCATACAAGGTCTTCTTACGAAAATCTCTTAGACCCACATTACTCATTACCAAATAAAGCTATTGATACAAAATTTTGCACAAATATTAGTTAAGATTTTTTCACGATCGGTTCATAATATGGGTGCGATCGGTCCCATACAAGGTTCCCTTCCGAAAATCTCTTAAACACACATTACTTATTACTAAATTACGATATAGATACAAAATTTGACTGAAATATAGCTTCTATATACAGAAATGTTATAAAGATTTTTTACGATCGGTCCATAATTGGTCATATACTAGGCCTATACTAGGTCCTGCCCCAAAAATTAGAATTTCCTTAAATCTTTCACGCAAATTATTATATATTCACGCAAGTTTGCAACGATTCTTGCGTTATGAACATGCATACTTCATGGTAGCTCTCTCAGAGTGTTGTGTTTTTACATGGGTGTTCGTAATTGTAAACCACATTTTACCATAAATTCTCAATCGGGTTTAATTCTGGCTGTAGGGTCCAATATAGCTATAGTGTTTTTAGCCTTATATTTGTGGTCATTATAGAGTTGCATCATAGCATTTTCATGGATTTGACCCCAATCATTAAAAATATCCCAATTGAATTTATATATTTTCCGTACGTCTTCTGATGAGAAGTATACCTAAAATAAATTATACCCATCTCCAAATTTCATAATGGGCATTATGTCACGGTCTTTTAATGGTGCATTCGGTTTTCTATATATGTACATGCTTTGGCCGTTAAATATAAGGTAAAAACACTCGATTTCTTCCAAAAATTGCTAAAATTTCATGGCTACATTGGCCCCTACAGTCGCCAGAGTTAAACTCGATTAAGAATTTAATGTAAAATGAGGTTTACATGCCATGATAGATGGAGGGTCATAACGCAAAATAAGTGTGGCAAACTGATCAAATTATGCTTCAGAGTTGAAACTGCTGTGAACCTAAACAGAAGATACAAAATACTAAAAATTTGTAACTAGAAACTTTTAATATATAATGAAAATGTTCCTTTGGTACTACGCGCCAAATATGTGTAAATGAGTTAAATTTATTTTTTTTTTATTTTTCTGAAGTATAACTAAGTGGATTTTTTATTTATTTTAGTTTAAAAATATCTTCAATAAATGCAGTTTTAAAAAACATAAAACTTTTTTAAATTTTGTTTTTAGTTTAAAAAATTTCACCAATGGTTTAAATATTTGACCATCATTTACACATTTTTGTCCCACACTGTACATACATACATATATCACATGAAAGCCCAAAAAGTTGTCTACTAAATTTGAAGTGATATGAAAAAGATATTGTATGAAGAACGGTGATCAACGCTGCTTCTTATTTTTAGTATAAATTTTTTCCAAAAACTTCTAAGTACACATCGATTTGACTTAATTTGTAAATTTTGCAGTTGTATCTCAAGTAGTACTAATTAACACTTGCACCTCTTCGAAAAAAAATTTTATGCATATTTTAATTATTTTTACATTATATTTTCCTGTTTTAAATAGTCCAAAAATCCACCAACTTCCTTAACGACTAATAATTCGGTTTCCTCAAATACTCAAAATCAAGTTGGAGATGAGCATCAACGTGGAGTACGTAAAATTTCACGATTTTGTGTCAGCCGTGTTCAGGAACAAAAATCTAACGAAAATAAAAAGTCAACATCTGGTGTATCAACACCTCCATCTGCTACTCCTCCTACTATAGATTTACAAGCTGTAAATAGTGCCAATTCTAATGATGTAAGTAGTCTAATAAATACGCCCACGGAGCAGTTACCTACTCCTCTAGGTGGTCCACAACAAACATTTCAACAAGAGCCTAACCCAGCTGCTGTTGCTGCTATTGTGGTCCCATTAACAACACAAATACAGCCATCAGTATTAAATTTGCAACAACAAACACAACCAGCAGTCATATACAATCCTAGTAATAATTCAACAGTTCAAATTCCTCAACAACAGCAACCACTTGTGCAACAGCAAATCCAATCAACAACAGTTTTACAACAAAAAATTCCAAATGCAGGGGCGCCAATTTTAATACCAAATTTACATTTGCAACAACCAAATTTGCAACATCCATTAGCCCAAAAACCTACCACATCACCAAATCAACCAAAAACCGCAGTTTCGGTTGCTGCTGAGACGACAAAACAGAATGTACATCAACCTCAACATACTCCCTCCTTGACAACTCAACAACAAGTATCTACTTCTCAACAAACAAACATGCAGTCACTCCCGAAAAGTTTGGCTCAATCACAAATTCCGTCAACTCAACCACTTCCAGTTTTTCGTTCGTTACTCACACCGACATTGCCACAAAATTCCGCATCCTATATTATTCAGCCGGCTTCACAACAGCATATAGTAAATCCAGTTCATTCACAACAATCCCAAATTCAAAGCGCTAATCAGCAGTCAGTTTATATACACAGTGATGGTATGTAAATCGGTTTAGTTAAACATAAAAACCTTTGAATTTTGTACGTAAGCGTGTAAATTATTTAAACATCTTTTTATTGTGATATAATAATAGTTTTTTTAGCTAGTTTTTTATTAAAAATAATTAAATTATAGAAAAAAATTTCTATTATTAATTTTGATTCACGTTTAGGAGTTGAAAGTGCTATGCGTATGCAGATGCCTCAAGAAGAACCTGTATCTCTAGCAGCTACTCATCCAAATTTGCTTCCAACAGTTATACAATCAGTAAGTGACTATTTCAGAAAATTTAGTTCGAATTGAAAGCTAAAAAAAATTTTTTTCTATAAAGGATATAAAACATAACCTGGATTCATTGGTAAACCAGTTGTGCAATTTACGATTAGGAACAAATCAGCATCAACGATTGTTACTTTTAAGGCAACGTCAGTTAATTGAAGAAGATGAATTGCGTTTGAAGCATTACGTCGAATATGAGAAATTTCAAAAGGCCATGCGTCAATGTAAGTGTCTCAGCTTTTTATTATATTAATCATTACACAATTGTATTTTTTATATGTCAAATGTTTTTTCTCTAACTTATTCATATGTATTACTTATAAATGTAATATTCATTTAGACAAAAACTCTAAAAAGAAATTGAAATTAAAAAAGGTCTCATTTGCGAAATCAACATTTTTAAAAACTTTTTTGTCATTAATTTTCGTTCGATTCCATTTCATGTTTAATCCTGATGATTTGAAATAAACAATATTATTTTGTAGCAGAGATTCTCAGCTTCATTTGATATTAATATTTATACCAAATTTTTATATAAATTTAGAATTCCATCTTTTGAAATCATATGTCCTTTAAACTTTAAGGTCCTTTTACAGGGGCGTAAGAGCTGATTATGAAAACATGAGTACACATTTTTTCATGTTACTGTTGCACTGTGTCATAACTCGTGGCAAAATTTTTGAAAGCTTCTAACCCGTCAATTACACGAGAAAATGTTGCCTTTAAAGTATCTATCTATTAAAATAAACTTACCTTTCCATTTAGTGTTTAAATTTTTATTGTATTGTTTCCATAAAAGAATAAGAAAGTATAGTCGGGATTTATTTTTCATAATAAAGCTTTTATTTTAAATTTTACCTTGATTCCAATATGGAGAATTTCATATCAAGTGATACAACTTTAAAAATCGATGTCTTCCGATTTGGATGAAATTTTCACCAAGGATAGTACTATGGGATAGTTGGCTAGACACAAATTTTCAGCTCTATTGGACAAGAACTGACGGACATTTTGGTCATACAGGGTTTTATTCATATGAGTTTAACTTTTCACCTATTGGTCCTAGCAAAAATTATCCAAAGGAGTTCAGATAGCTATTTCTTCATTCTTTCCATTTTTTTTTTTTAATTTTATAAAAATGTTTAAAATTTTTTTTCTAAACTAATTTGTTTTTATTTAATTTTTTTTTTTGCTTAAAAGAAAGCTTATACAATTTCCTTGAATGGCTTTATAGTCCCATAATGGGATGCGAGTGGGATATCTGTCAAAAAAATTATTTTTTAACTCAAGAATACATTTGCAACTTAATTTTCACCAATTTTTTCAAAATGGACGTTATTGTTGTTTTTTTACTCAAAAGAATGCTTGGACCATTTCCTTTAAGAGCTGAACTCCTTCGGACAATTTAGGTGAAAAGTTACACTCATTTGAATAAAACCCTGTGTTTAAGTACAAATCGATAATTTGCGGTATTTTTCTCTAAGTGTAAACCCTAATGATTTACTACCATTAGTTCACATCTTTGATGGAAAACTATAATAAAACTAACGAGAAAAAACTTTATCCTCCAACATATAAAAGGAATTTTAAGTGCCCTTTTGTTTGGAGAGTTTTTAAGTTTGCTTTTTTTTAAAAAAAAAAAGGTTAGTAAATTGATATAAAAGTGATTTTGTCAAAAGGTTAGTAAATTGATATAAAAGTAATTGTGAAAATACGTGTGTGTGTGTTTCATAAACATAAAGCAAAAGAAAACAACAAGTTATTGTCAAAACAGGAATTAATTTTTCTGCCAATAATTTATTGTGAATTAATTGAATCCCTATTAAATACATCCTTGTCCGCGATTATACTTTATACAGTACCCTTTGACAGCGATCGGTACATATATAATCAAGGCTGCGTTTTTTTACTTTAGACGGACAGCCATAATTGATAATTAAAAATTGCATTTTCTTCAGCAAATAAATAAATAAATTATTTTCAATAATTAAATTTTATGAAAATTATTTTGGTGTTAATTTTTTACTGAAACAAATTGTGATCAAAATAAGTTGTATCTGAATTTTATGCAAGTATCTCTTTATACAAATTTAATATTAGTAATTGTTTTGCGAAAGATAAAATTCTTCTTCTTCCTCCTTTTGCTAATTTATTGATAGTTACCCTACGGTCGGTCCGCTTGACTTCAAATTGGTTGCTTTGAAAATTGTAATACAAATTCGATTTTTTTTGTGACATTGGAACCCTGCTTTATAGTATTTTACTTAATAAAATGCAATCTTAAATTGTGAAAAATGCCTTTGACATCTCTCGAACATTTCACTCGCGATGCGGACATGAAACTGAACCTTCGCGGGGAGAATCACCACGTCTATTATTTTAAGGTACTTCAAAGTGAACTGAAAATGTTATGGGAAAAAGTGAAAAAAAAAAATTTCGATAAGTGCATGGATGATCTTCAATCATCTGAAGACACTGAGTCTGAGGATATTCAAACAGTCGAAAGTAAATATCACAGTACGATGGACGTGTATGCTCGTTATTCGGAATCAATAGATTTTAAGATTGACGAACTTAAAGCTATTTCAAAACATAAGGCGTCGCCATCAACGGAAAATGATGCGAATTTCGACAATATTTGTCATAATTTACCTCTCCCACCTTGTGACACTGACATGTTTAGTAGTGATTACCTTTCCTGGCCTACGTTTAGGGACTTTTTTTTACCGCGTTGTGTATTAACAACAAACGACTGAGTAATATAGAACCTTTATGCTATTTGGTGAAAAGAACTGATAAAGAGGCGTGAGAGATTGTATCGAAATGTCCGTTGACAAATCAAGGATTTGAAATCGCATGGAAGAACTTAAAGGACATGTATGAAAATCCGCGCATGTTAGTAAACAATCAGTTAAAAGAATTGTTTGGTTTAGAGCAGCGGTTTCCACCGGTTTTTACTACGCGGACCCCTTGAGGAACTTATTTAATTTCGCGGACCTCCATACATATTTTGATATCTTATTGTTCTAAATAATTGTTCGTCCGAAAATTAACCTAGTCCATAAATCCCTAGGTCAAATAAATGTAGAGATGTCATATCTATAAAATATTCCCGATAGGTTTTTAATTGCATGGTTTTGGACTTCTTCCATGTTGTTGGACTTCTTCCATGTTGTTGCGGAATGCGTTATCCGCATAATATATGACATGAACTCTTTTACTGCATGGTTTTGCCTACATATTTACGCGAAACGCTATGGATTTTCTGATGTTAATTTAATAATATTGGTCGATAAAATCAAGTAAAAATCTTTGTATCACGTCGGAAGGGAATATTTATATTTAAAATTAACTTAATTAACGTATTGAAGATGCATAAAGAGTCACCTCAGTTTTTGAAATATATAATTTGAGTCCTTACAAACAAGAACACTTTTGCTTACAATTTGACAAACTTAAATCTGGTATAAGCTTGTCTTTGAATTATGAAAAGTGGCCTAACTTCATACTCCGGAATACCAGTATCCCTTATTTAATTGTAAGACAGATCATTATCCGTCTGAAATAAAAAAACATTGTTTCACTACATATACAGGATATAAAAATTACATATCAGGCAATATCTTACTTTATAAAAGTGATGCAATATTGTTTATTCATGGCTTTTTTATGTTTTTTATGTAAAAAACCGGGTCAATTACTTCGTTTTTGCCGTCAGTTTCATAGAATGTCTATTCCTGAGAGATGTGGAACGGTTAATGATTGTTTAAGTGAACATCGTTGTTCTATTTGTAATAAGCGGCACCATACTTCACTACACCGAGATTCTTCAGTTTTGCTAAACTCTAGTAATGCATTTCCAGCGTCATTAGATGACAACTCTTTGGTTTTACGACCATACAATCACACTCCTCATGACCAACGACCTACTAACTGCATTAGTAGAAAGACCGACTACGTCAGGCACTATAGTTGAACGACAAGTATTTCATACTAGTCAAAATCATTCTACTCCTTTGGGTAGTGACTAGCAATGTACCTCCTAATTTATTAGATGACAATTCTAGTGTGGTTCTACGATCCACAACTCCTAATGATCAACGACTTTGTCAGGTACAACAGCTGGAAGACCTACTACGACAGGCACCATGTCTGAACGACAAGTAATCCATACTCGTAGGAATCATTCTGTTCTATTGGGTACATCAACTGTCGACTTGATACACAATGGTTGTAGATATCAAGTTAGAGCTTTAATTGACCCTGCTTCAGATTGTACAATTATTTCTGAAAAGTTGAGGAAAAGATTCAAGATTCGAACCATTTTCGAAACAGCGAATGAGGCGTAAATGAGGAATTTTCGGCCATTTCGACAAAGACTTGCAATTTGAAAATAGGTTCTAGTACTGATTCATAATTTTTATTAAACACTTCGGCATCTGTTTTGCCAAGCATTTCGGGAAATTTGCCTTCGGTTTCGGTTAATGCCGACAAATTTGGCAGATTCGAATCCTTTCGGGAGCAGATCCGTGGAAATATTATTAGGAGCTGATGTATACCCCCAGCTTATTTTACCCGGAATTAGGAAAAAAGTACTCGGATCATATTGGCTCAAAAAACCTATTTGGTTGGATATAAACCGGTCTAGTAAATAGTATTAATTCATCTCCTACGAAGGATAAATATAGGCCAAATAAAAATAGATACATTCCAACATGGAAACGTAATGAACCCAAATGATATAGGAACTAATTAGTTTATCAATCTGTAATAGAACCGCAAATTAAAATTGCTTGTAAAGCATTAATATTGTAACCTTTTACGAGGTAATCCTGTATATAAATATATAAAACAGACTGTTTGTTTGTTTATTTGATTGTGTCTTTGTTACGCTTTCACGGCAAAACTACTTAACCGATTTACATGAAATTCGGACCGCTAATAGGTCTAACCCCAAAAGATCATGGTCGGATACCACTCCCTTTTTTCCGCCCACTTTTTGTAAAACTATTATTACACCAATTTTGCAATCACAATATGCAAAAACTACTAAACCGATTTACCTGAATGCAAAAACTACTAAACCGATTTACCTGAAATTGTGCATACCGATAGGTATAAGCTCGAAAAGGACTATATGATATATATAAGATCTTGATCTGATGCCACGCGCCCTTCTACGCCCACTTTTTATAAAACTATCCTTACCTATATCATATAATTA